AAACAAACATCAGGAAGGCAATCCTCTTTAATTCTTTATTTCTCCACACAAGTTAAACAAGTTTCAAAACAAGAATTTTAAATTACACAGAAAGAGGATAAATGATCACAGAGAGTAATTGATTTACAATTAATTGTTACATATACATATGAAACTATGGTTACCAGAATTGATGGCAATAACAAGGAAAATTAGAAAATAGTCACTTTGACTTCCCTTAACTTACACTATTGTGAATGTTTACAAAAGGTTGGACTGTTAATTCACTAATTAATTAATTAATTAGGGTTAAATCCATTTCGCAGAGATGACTTCAGAAATGATCGACTTCATTTTCTCACATACTCGAATATTTTAACCATTTTTATAGTGTTAAAAAGGTGAATAGAAGAAAGAAAAAGAAAGAAAAATACTTCCATAATGATAAAGTAGAAAAGACACAGCAAACATTAAAGGGCGTGCACAGCGTTTTTCATCTCTGCCCGTTTAGAGTTTATTCTTCTTAAAACGGACAAATCATAACAAACCATTAATGAAAATTAGGATCAAATGTTGTTAGCTTCATCAGTTTATTATCATTGTTATTCCCTTCGGTTCCTAGTAGAACATAACAGGGCTGCAATAACACATCTCCACTTTCTTCTATTCATCACTGCTGTCCTCTTCAGCTGAGTTTATGATTGCCAATAATCTCTCATCTCCTCCATGTCACCTTCGCATCCTCGAGTGATGGCCTGCACTACGCGCGATGTCATTCCACGGCCTTCTCAGCGTGTACCCGATCAATCCATCTCCATTTTCTCTTAAATATTTGTTGTTGGTTTGTCACCATCCAGAGTTTCTTGTCAATAATTCTTTCTCGCTGGCCGACCATTCAATCCTCAATATGGAGCCAACCAGCGAAGGGGCAGCTGTTGATACAAGTCTGTAACTTGTTGGAAATCCTTTTCGTGACGCGTTTTTCCGAGTTTCTGACCCGTATAGAAGAACTGACTGACTTGACAATTGTGTTGCAATTATGGATGTTATTCTTTATGCTGACTGAGTGCAGCAGCACATTTCCAAACTGGTTTCATGTTGATGAAGGTGTATCTTGCCTTTCCGATTCTGACTGGCTGGCTTTGACATCTTCATCCATGCCATCGGTCTGTAGTTGAAACTATGCTGGATGCCTAGATAAGTGAAGGAAGTAGCGTCTGTGAAACTTCACCCGTTGATAGTGACTGGAATTGGTTGTTGTTACTGCTGTTGCTGTTGGTTGGTTATCTTCATCACCGCCATCTTCTCTTCCTTCACCTGGAGTCCTATATTCGCTGCTTCTTCAGTCATTTTGTTGCTTTTCGCCTGCAGTTGTTCCAGTTGGTGTGACATTATACATATATCAAATCTCTATCTCAACTTCAACAACTTTGAAAAAGCCTTCGACAACATTGACCACGAAATGAAACCTTCAGAAATCTTATTCATCCGCTATACGAAAAATGCCACACGTCTGGTGAACATCCGGCAAAGCCTTTGAAATGAAAACAGCAGTAAGACAAGGCTGTCTGTCTGAGTACTGTTACTGAAGATACTCCTGATTATGGTGGACTGGTTCACTCAGCAGACCGTGGAAACAGAGAATACATCAGGACGTTGGACCGACAAGAAGATTCAAGATGACCTGGACTTTGCGGATGACTTACGTTTGATGTCACACAACGTCGAAGACCTACAGGTGAAAAATGAAAAGTTGGAGAGAGAGAGTAGCTGAGAAGACAGGAATTCAAACGAACCTAAAGAAGTCAGAGGTGGTGGGAATGAACAACAACAAGCACCAGTCACTATCGACGGAAGAAATCCAGAAGTCATCGTTTCAACTACAGTCGACAAGGATGAGGATGTCAATGGCAGCAGGATCGGAAAAGCCAAGCAATTTGGAAATATGTTGCATTCAGAATAAACAAGAAAATTTCGGATTCTCTACCCTAATATCAATTCAGTGGTTCTGAGACTTGGCGCGTCATAGAGAGCATTTCGAAAAGGCTGCGAACTTTAGCCTTTCACTCGATACTGAAGATTAGATTAGACAGACATAATTAGCCACAGGGAACTGTAGGAATGAACAAACCGGGAACCTACATATTACCCAACAAATATGCTGATAGAAATAGAGATGGATCGGGATATATACGCTGAGGAGACCGATGAGTGACACAGCGAGCCAGGCTCTAAAGTGAAACCCGAATGGGAAACAAACGACGAGTTGGGTGTCCCATGGTGACACAGAGGAGATTGTGTGAGCAAGAGATGAGAGCTTATGGTTAATCGGCGGGCCAGGTAATGACGACTGTAGAGGGGAGGATGAAACAGAGGTGCTCTTTTGAAACCTAGTGTTCTTCCCGGAACACAAGGCAATAACGATAATATAATGTGAATTCGGTTGATGGTGGATAGCTGCGGAATTCAGGATGTGCGTGTCACTGATGAGGAGTTCCAAATAGGACAAATCGCGCATTCTGTATTCAGCTGCTAGTTACCATCAACCAAAATTACACCAAATTAACCTGCAGACATCATCGAAGCGTCAGTTCTGCACATCGACATGTTGAGAAAGATCGATCATTTCCGTCCAACACGATCAATCAAAGGAAAATAAAAACTAAACGTTATTAATCTTATTCCCCCAAGTTCTAAGTGGAGCAACAGGCTTAATCATCATCACATCTCCATTTCACTCACCTTTTAGCTGGCTTCACAATTGCTCATACGCTTCCATCTGCTCCTCATATTATCTCTTCTACATTAACCTGCGTCGGTGGCTCAGTGTTTAGGACTCTCGCCCACCATGCACATGGTCCGGGGTTCGATCCCCTGCCGACGCACACCCGATATCAATGGTCGGCCTGCAAAATTTGGGCTACCGATATCCATGCTGAAAATTCCATACTTGTACTGAAAATACGGTGTGGCATCAAGCTGTAATCAAAATAAAAAAATTATAAAATAAAAAATAACCTCGGCCCCCCCCCTAACTTGTCGTTTTCTATTCAGTTTTCGCTCTACAGCCTGGCGCGTGATTTCACTCAGTCTAAGTTGAATCCATTTCCATTTCCTTCTCCATATTTGTTCGCTAATAGATTCTTGGTTTGCTCGTTTCTAGAGTTCTGTGTAGCTTATCCTTCCCAGCTGGCCATCTAATCTTCAGTGTCAAGTGAAGGTAGCCGTGCAAGTTTGAATCCTGCTCGTGACTTATTTAATCCAACCAGAAAATGATATAAAAGACGGTTGCAGTGAAGAAAATTTCCTTTTCGATGAAGTCACCGTCAACTAGGCCATACATTCGTGTATTTATGGTAAATAGGTGAAAAAGTTGCACAACTATTTCCGGTCAAAGGTTAAATTAATAATATTACAAAGTGTAATAAATACAAAGATCGGATACAGAATATCGTAAGGTTGTAGATAGGTTGTAGTATTATCCTAGAAATGTTTCAGGTCAAAGGTCAAATTAGTAAAAATTACATAATAAATGGGTGGGAAAGTTCCAGAATAATTGCCGGTCAAGAATCGAAATGTAACCAGATTCACTAGATGGTTATAAGGTCAGAAAAAGATGGAAAACCTTGTACTTGTCTGGAATCCGAGAGACAGAACAACGCAGGCTTCTGAACATCTTTAGGTAGACAATCTACCCAATGCGTCTGATTTCGATGAGAGCAAAAATAAGCATTAGGTTATGTAATATCCTCACTACGTTTGTAGCTAATTAAATAAGTTGTGTAAGATTATCTCTCCCTCTCTCTCAAGTTAAATATCAACTACAGTTGGTCTGGGTCACAGTGATTTCAGATTCGCTATAGGATTTCATCATGAGCTGACATCAGTTAAAGGATTATTGGAAAACCACCTGGCAGTATTGGACGGCTGTTTCCTCCGTCCTAGTTTGAGATTCTTCAGCTACACGCACCCACCACCAGGGTTTGGACCCCGGGCCTTCTCGTTACAAGGCCAGCAAGCTTGTAGACCATTCAGCCACTGGGACTCTATCCAATGGCCAGACCACGAATTCTAACTTTTCCAATTCATGACATATCGTGACCAATAGCCAGTGTCATTGTCGATGAGCATTTCTCCTCACACCCGACCTGCTGTATCCTACTGGTCACGAATTCCCACTAGAACTCCAGGTAACTACCTGTCTGAGATTCGTAAACCAATTAATCAATTCAAATTTCTTTCCAGTTTAGACTATCGTATATATTATTTATACGGGTGAGAAACTTGCACTGCGCGTCATGAAAAGGATTTTCAACAAGTTACAGACTTTTGTCAATGGCTGCCTCCTTCTCTGGATGTTTCCATACTGAAGATCAAATGGCCGGTCAGCTAGAAAGAATCGACAACAAGAAACTGTGAATGGCGACAAACCAACCAAAAGCCGATTACTCAACAAATATGTAAGAGAAAATGGAGATGTATTGACTGGGCAAACTTTGAGGAGGCCATCAAATGACATTGAGCGCAACGCGGACCATCACTCGAGTTGAACTCCAATGAGAAGCGACAAGTCGGTCGTCGGTGCGAGGGTGACATGAAGGAGATGAGAGATTATGGCTAATCGTGAACCCGGCTAAAGACAACACCAGAGAATAGAAGAAAGTGGAGATGTGTTCTACAAGCCCTGTTATGTTCCACTTGGAACCAAAGGGAATAATAATAATAATGTATTATCTTATCTACACATGTTATCCTCACATTAATTAACTCTAACTCATAATATTTACTAACACAAAACGAAGCGCTATAGAATCAATTTCATAGGAATTTATTTCTACTTATGTGTACAACATCTTGTTATAACACAGCACAGTCAGGTTGACTCTGTTCTTTCAAACATTTACAAAAATAGAAGACATACAAATACGGCAGGAAACAAGAACAATGAATGAAGGATACAAAAAGACGGGAAAGGTTTTTTTTCTCCAAAACAACAACAACAAGAACAGCAGATTTCTTCATCATTTAAAGTGATTCATTATTTGTTGTATAATATCAGATTTTTTACTCCGACCAGTTGTTGATATTTTAAGATCAAGTGATTTGATTGTATCACGTAAAACTGTCACTGTATACTTATTTAATTGACCAAGTCTCACAGCTGCTTTGAGTTCATCTTCAGATAGAAATGGTTTTACACTTTGACTACTATAACTGTCAGTTGATTGTGAAGTGTAAGCCTTCTGTATTATAGGATAGAGAAAACAAAGGAAAAGGAAGTGCATTTAGAATAACAAAATACTTTCTCAAAAAGAAAAAGAAATTATGATAGTTTTGGACAGTTGTTTCGTCCTAGTTTGGGACTCTTTAGCATTATGCATACACACCGCCACGGTTTGAACACATGACGTTCTTGATACAGGGCTAGCGAGCTCGTAGACTATTAATCCACAGGGACCAATACTTGAAAATAATAATGGTTTTATTCTCAACAAGCATCGGTCACTCATGCACGTGTTACGGGGTTCAACCTCCGACCGACAACCTCCTAAACTCCACTCAGCCAGTAGTATATCAAGCGAAGAGGGAAGGTTCGCTTTGGGGCTGCCAAACCCACAATAACCTCTACAGAGTATCCTTCGACAGAATTTTCTACTGTCTGTAACATTGTCCAACACCCAGCGACCCAACGAGCCTCCAACGTATTTGTCCCTTCGAAAGAGATCAAGAGACGTTTCAGGAGGTAGCTTTTGTAGGCATTTGATTTCTGTCAGGATTGTCCACGGATTGATTGATAGCAATTAGAGAACCATTGAAAACCAACCAAGGAATACTTTGATTGGACACTAGTCAGCGTCTAGTGTGATGTGTCTAGTCCTTTTTTTGCTGCAGATTGAATTCTATCAGTCAGCTACCTCGAATGGCGGTCACATTGCAAACCTGACTGATAGAATTCAGACTGCGCCAAAGAAAGGACTAGACACATCACACTAGTCACTGATTAGTGTCCAATCAAAAATATCCAGTACAGTCCTAGAGGAGGAAAATTGCGAGCAAGCCTGAATAGCTCAGCGGTTAAGTTTCTGACTGTAGCACTCACTGAGTGATGCAGATTCCAGTCTCAGAAGGGAAATGAGCTCCTCCAAGGTTGCAAATATGCCTTGCTGACCGATAAGTATCAACTAACACGAAACCAAGGTCCCAGCGAGGCTTCCTGCCGACTGCCTCCAACCATTTAATACCAACTAAAGGAATACTGGCCAGGTCTGTTTCTGTTCTCCTAATCCAGAAGTCTTCAGCAGTACGAGTTTAGAAGTCATGCTAATGGAATTTCATCAAGGTGAGTCGTTGTCTTTTCACTTATCCATTCATTTTCAAGTGTTGATGAGAAGTCATAACCAGAGAGCGCCACAAAGTCTGGTAGGAAGATAACTACTCGCCAGCGACAATACCGACTGTTGGTCAGCTTATATATCCCGGATTGGTAGAAGCTAAAATTCACTGGCTGGTCACTGAGTCAGGTCTTAGTGGTTGAATGGTCTACGAGCTTGCTCGCATGTAAGCACTGGGTATTGGGTTTGAATCCTGGTGGTGGGTGCTTACTGCCGATGAGTCTCAAACTAATGGGACTAAGGAGCTGTCCAGTACTCCGCTCCGTCCTCCTTTATGGCTGTGAGACCTGGCCATTGAGAGTGGAAGATATGAAAAGGGCAGCTATCTGTCTTTGATCATAGGTGTCTGCGTTCTATCTCCTGTGTGAAGTGGTATAATAGGTTGAGCAATATTGAGGTTAGACTTCGGTCGAGTGCTAGGTAAGTGGAGGGGGGGAATCAATGGACGAGGTTGTGAAGTTACATCGACTGAGGTGGTTAGGACATGTGTTACGTATACCTAGCCATCGATCGCCTTCCTCGACAATGGGTAATGTCAGCTGATATAGGGTCAGGTTGGAAAAGAGCTAGCGGCGGTCAAACCAAAACATGGCACCAGTCAATGAAATCCACAACACTTAGTTTAAGCAAACGACGTAGGAAGGTGTAGACTTCCTGACTGGTTGGGGTCCTCAGGATGGTAAAAAACAATGATGGATGGAAACAATCGGTGATATAGCTCAAAGTGATCGTTGTCAATGGCTGGTGCAAATGCATCCACTCCTTGTGACTTATAATTTTCAATGAAACTATTTTGTTCTTCATTATTACTATTCCTTTTGTCTCATATCCCTGTTTACTGTTCCTATTATGCATTGCTTCTCCTTTCTTCTCTTGCTTGTATGTCGAAAACAGACAGAAACAGAATACTCCCTACTGGTTTTTCAATGGTTCTCTTACTGATATCTCAGTCTGTGGAATGTTGAAAGTCATTCAAAAATGCAGACTGAGTAAAAATTGTGTTTCCTTAGGAACTTAATTAGGTGGTTGAAACAAAGTAACAGAACAGCCTGCCTACTTAAATCATTGGTCTGTTTAAATTTCACTCCAGTATAATGGATAAACTCTTCTCCACATTTCTTACAGTTTTAATCATATAAATGTGTTTTAGGATGGCTAAAGGAACTAGTGTACATTTTTCGTTTGCTATCAGTGTAACGCAGAGTACTTCTTAAGGGATACGATTGGAAAAATAAAGTAGAGGAATGGATTTGACTTCAGATGGGACAATACACAGTGTCACACGATGTACTGTTGATTTCACCATGAGCTGACAGAGGTTAGAGAACCAATGGAAAACCTGAGAGTTTCGGTCAGCTGTTTCGTCCTAGTTTGAGACTCTTCATCACCCACCGCAAGGGTTTGAGTCCAGGACATTCTGGTTACAAGGCCAGAAAGTTCGTAGACCATTCAGCCACTGGGACCTGATCCAATGGCCGGCCCATGAATTTTAACTTCTGCCAATTCACGACATAGTGCGACCATTTCGCAATGCCTTCTTCGATGAGTTACTGTCTCATCTAGGTTATGGGTTCGAACCGCGGTGCGTGCGTACTGATGATGAGTCCCAATTTAGGACGAAGCAGCTGTCCAGTGCTCCCAGGTTTTCGAGTGGTTCTCTAACTGATGTCAGCTCATGATGAGATCCTCCATCCAATCAAACAAAATCCCTACAAAATCAATACTTGAAAATATTATTTTACTTGAAGATGAATACGATGATATTTTGCAACTTCTGGACTATGTGTTGACATATTGTCTACGATAAAGTTATTAATTCTAAGTATAAATGAGTAAATTTGATGCAGCGAGCTCTGTACAAAATAAATTAGCCCGAGGATTATGGTTCGATGTGTAATGGAGGTAATTCAGAGGTATTTTTGCCGTTAAAGTACCACTTAGTGTAAGTTACTAACTTTGAAATGATTTCCATGATTTCGAAGGGTAACAAGATGTGTTGCACTGTCTTACAGGCAATCGCTACTTAAGAAGCTCTTTACAAAAGTGTATCTGTGGAGGCAAACTTCCGTATTTCTTACAAATGTACACTACCTGTTGAAGTAATAAATCAATCAATATAGTCAATGGTTCATTTGGTCAACATAAAGAAGAACAGTGACCAGAGAGTACGAATGCACCAATGACCTTGAACGCATATCGTTCATTGGGTGACAGAGCCTGCTATTATTATAGCGCCAGTATGAATGTTGTGAACGAACTGAGGTGCGAATTTCACTCCTGATCTCGTTTTTAAATACTGTTTGGACAATAAGGTTGATAGGATAGTATTAAGGTCAGAGTTGTGTTTAGGATTAGGGATAGAATTATGATTAATGGTTAGGGGCTAAGGTAAGTATTAGGGTGTTTCATTATTGCCTGTACTTCTCTTTTAAATAAAAATAGGAGATGAGAGTATTTCCTTGTGTATATAAATGAAAGTATTTTGATTGCTATGAAACTGAAAACCTGATTGTAAGTGGGAACTTATCTTTCAGTTACGTTAGGGTAAAATATCGTCTTTCATGTGTTTGACCATGATCATATTGTTTCAACTACAGGCGGATGACACGGATGGCGATGTCAGAGCCAGCCAGCCAGCCAGAATCGGAAAGGCAAGATACGCCTTCATCAACCTGAAACCAGTTTGGAAATCTGCTGCACTGACTCAGTCAGCATAAAGAACAAGACTCGGATTTTCAACAGCAGTGTCAAGTCAGTCAGTTCTTCTATACGGGTGAGAAAATTAGAGCAAACGTCACGAAAAGGATTTCCGACAGGTTGCAGAATTTTATCAACATACGCTTTCGTTGCATACTGATGATCAAATGGTTGACTGGAAAGAATTAGTAACAAGGAACTCTGGCTGGGGATAAGTTAACCAATAGCCAATTGCTCAACAAATATATGGCAGAAAATGGAGATGGATTGGGCATACGTTGAGGAGGGCATCAAATTAAATCGCACACAATACAGGCCGTCCCTAAAGTGGAATCCCAATCGGAAGCGACGAGTGGGTAGTCGATGCGAGGGTGACATAGAGGAGCTCGTGTTGCGAGGAGAGAGGAGATGAGAGATTGTAGGCAATAGTGGACCCAGGAGATAATACAAAAAAGTGGAGATGTGTTGTTGAAGCCCCATGTTCCACTCAGAATCCAAGGGAATAATAATTATTATTATTGTATTAACTTCTTCTTGTAGATAAACGTTTTTTTAAGGTAAAATACACGGTAAGTTCTGTAATCCAGCGAGGTCATTGGTTTATTCGCACTTCCTGATCAGTGTTCTTTGTGTCTGCCGTTCATTTTTCCTCTCGTGAATCTAATTTAGCTCTGTGACTCTTCTAACCTAGGACACCGGCGAAGTTAGTCTCGGTGTACTGTTAGGTATTTCAGAAGCTACATGCATGCAAAAGTATCTGTCAATTCATGTGCATCGCAAAGGTAAGATTTTTTAACTAGGGAGAGAAACAGCCACACCGATTACACTGGAAATAAACCAAACGTTAACTACATGAAAAATACTAATATTTCCTCCAGTTTAATTTTAATTAATTTCAATTTTATTCGTTAGGGGATTTCATCATCACCTGAAATCGATTAGAGGACCATTGGAAAACCACCTGGGAGTGCTGGACAGTTGTTTCCTCTGTCCCAGTTTGAGACTCTTCGGAGGTACGCACTCACCAGGGTTCGAACCCGAAGACGTTGCTAAGTGGTCGCGCTATGTCATGAATTAGCAGAAGTTAGAATTCATTGGCCATTGGGTCGGGTCCCAGTAGCTTAATGGTCTACGAGCTCGCCTAGTAAATAGAAGGTGCTGGCTTCGAACTCTGGTGGGTTGGTGCATATTGATGAAGGATCCCACACTAGGACGAAACAGCTATCCAGTACTCTGAGGTGGTTTTCCAATGGTTCTATAACTGATGCCAGCTTATGATGAAATCCTAAAGCCAATCGAATCCCTACAAACCAATACTTGTAATCTTATTCTTTTACATTCCTAGTGGAACATACGGCTTCAATCTAAAGCGTTTTTGAAGTTTCGGTAGCAATGGTATTTATTTTTAAAGGATAGGGTTGCTAGCCTCATGCTCAACCTTCCCTCTTTACCAGTCTTATTATTATCTTAGCGTGGTAAAGGAGTAAGTCGACCGGGGATCGAACCCTGAACCACCTGCATGGTTGGCAAGCATTCTACCTCTGTGCTACCGACGCAAAGAAGAGGGTCAAAAAAAAGTACAGTGTAGTCATTACGTGGCATCACACACACAAGAAAAAACTTACTGAACGTTTCAAGAGATGTTTAGTTCACATGAACAATATTAAGGTTGGGCTGATCAATTAATAATCATTCAAGAATGTGTGGAGTTCTGTACTCTTAACTCATTTACCATCTATTTCTAATTACAATCATAAAATTCGTTACTGGTCTCGTAAAAATCGAACCATTGACATAATGGAATGTTGTCGTATAAATATAAATATAAGTGGTAAGGTCATTTATGGACATCATCAGTCAGGGGGAGTGATTAACAAATTTGTTACACTCAAAATGTAGAACTAAACAAATTGACGAGTTGTTTTTTCCATGTCAACTAGAGTTATCATTTGAAAGTTTACAACACTACATAGTTGTACAGATCGGTCAGGGTCAAAGTGTTAGTCAACCACTGTAAACATTATCTCAATCGGTTGTTAATCATATCAAAATTCCAGTTCAATAAATATTGATTATCAATTGGTCTGTGATACAAACAACCAATCAAATTTCATCATTTTTTGATATACACAATGAATAATCGGCTTATGCTGTTGTGTAATTAGTGTTCATGATACTTTTGGATGTTGTTATTATCAGTGTAATCTCATACAGCAGTAACCGTTTGTCACTCTGTCACTATATGCACGCCACATGTCGCTCTTCTGAGTCTTCCTGTTTATTAGTCAGGATCAGGGAAATCTTCTAGGAGATTGTCTTTTTTATTCCTTCACGTTCCGAGTTGAACATAGGGCAGCTTCAGGCTAGAGGCTTGAAGTTTCGGTAGCAGTGGTGTTCAATTTTACGGAGTGAGGTTGCTAGCCTCAACTGGCCCAACCTTCCCTCCTTACCACTCATAGTGAGGTAAAGGAGTGCGTGGGTGGCCGGGATTCGAACCCTGGACTACATGCGTGGTCTGTGAGCATTCTACCGCTGTGCCACCAACGCACAATTAGTACTTTCATTATTATTAACGCGTTTTCAAGTTAATATTCACCGACTACAATGAAAAAAAGTTCAATGTTGAGATCACGTGCAGTGTCTCAGTGGTAGAATATTCTTTCGCCAATCACTCACATGGTCCGAGATTCGATTCACCGGCGACGACGCACTCTTAAATCCCGGTTAGTCTGTAGTAAGACAGGTAAAGAAGGAAGGTAGGGACTGAGAGTAGCAACCCCACCACGTGAAAAGAAATAGCATTTTAAAGGGAAATACTTTTTCCCTCATGTTTCTGTTATGAAATTATCAGTTAAGTAGTTGATGGATCTATTCGAAATTACATCAACATAACATATGTCGAAAATACAATATACGTTTCTGTAAAGCAATCACTGTCATGAGACTAAGTGTAGAATGTGAATGGATAAGTAAAGGTGTAAATCAATCGACTGAAATACTCGAGTAGATGGATACTATTCACATTAATTAGTAATATTTACTAGACAGATAGAAGTTATTTGATTGGGATAATGCCGAAATTTTAAACAGAGAAAACACCAAAGTGCCAGAGAATTCCTAGAAGTCTGATACTCAAACGAAGATGTTAATATAGACCAAATTTACATGTGACGAGAAAGTTTAAAATCCAAGTCAATAAAAAGTGATCATTACAGATGGAAAGATGGTTGCCAGGAGACACAATTCTGTCACTCATGGAGGGAGAATTTAAATCAGTTCATTTTATGCTAAAACTTGCGCTGAAGATGTTCACCAGAAGGACGACGAAAGCTTCGCAATTAAACCAACCAGCTCCTCAGAGAACACAACTAATTGCAAATCACCCACCTGAGCTACAAATCTTCTCTATTAGATCGAAATGATCTCAACACCACTCGTTCGAAGCCAAATTCATTAACGGTTTTCTCCATTTGACTCAAATCAAATCAAACCACTGGAAATTCCAGCTATTTTTGATTACCATTTATAGTATTATGTAGATCACGTTGATTGTGATCTATCTGAACAATTTCAGTATCTTATGGGTCAAACTTCAAGTCGAAGGCTCGCTGGGAGGGGGCTGGGTTAGCCTCTTGCCTCTTAAGACGACCACCTGTCACAGTCCAGGAGTTCGAGTAGTATGCCGAAATTCGCAGAAACTATGGGGTTATTTTTTGTAACACATCTCCTTCGGTCCTCCTAATATACCAAGTTTTTGTTTCAATAATAATAATGATTATAAATTGATCAATAGGAAAGTCAAAAATAACTTGCTTATTCACCTTTGATGAATTCACCGCCTCCAAGTTGAAACATTGTCTGAAGGCTTCAATTTCTACACTGGCTCTTCTTTTCATAGCTCCAATTTTAGGCACTTTATTTTTGGGGGGGAATAATGAAAAGAAAACAAGAATGCAGCCACACAAAGAAGAAACAGTTTCTCATTTACATCAGTTGAACTAAATGAATATGCGATCAAATAGATTCCATTTCATTTCATCGGAAAAAGTAAACCATTGTTGGGATAGAAAAGGTAAGATTGAATCGAGTTTAATCAGGGATTCAGACATCAGTTAGAGAACCATTGAAAAGCGGTAGCGAGTACTAGACGGCAGTTAAATTTTAGTTGGGGACTCATTGGCAATAAGCATGTATCGCTAGGGTTCGATCCCGGGACATTTTGGTCACAAGTAAGCAAGCTCCTAGACCATTCAGCCACTGCGTCTCGACTCAATTCGCGATTTTTATCACAAACGACCAGCTAATATCGTCGCTTGTGACTAATTATCCCCTTAAGAGACTTCGTGGACCCTTCTGGTCACGACTTCTCACTAGGACTCACCTCCAGGCAACTTCGTCCTGTAGCCAGTCACTTCCGATCATCCGACTAGTTTTCATGAGTTTGGTGTTGGAAAAGAACATGTGGTGTTAAAAGATATTTGAAATAGTGAACACTTTTATAAACTGAATCACACTTACATTTCCATGTAGTTGGAATTATAACCTGCACACATTCTATGTGACGGCCAATGATACTGTCCCGGATCACTCAAAACCTCGATAGACGGAGCAGAATTCGAAAGCATAACCCAGTGGTTAGAAGTTAAGTATCTAGATCAGTGAGTTCCACAGGTCCATATTAGGCTCGGTGGTTCGCTGATCAGTCAACTAAATTACAAGAGTTAGTCATCGGTCTGACAGTTAAGGTTAACAATTCAGGTTGGGTAGCTATGAATTAACCGACGGTATACTTCGATTAGACACTAGCTGGAAACTAATGTCATCCGTCTAGTTCTTCGAATTATGACCCAATTTCGAACTTTTTGTAAGAAACTTAGATAATATAGTTTCACCAAGTGGCTCAATTTACAACGGAAAAGACATTCATGAAATTTCGTCCCAACTTAAAATTCTTTAACAGTTCACACATTGATATTGATATAATTACCAAAACTGTTGGAGATTGTAGACCCATTTCGATTCAGTGACTAGATGTTAACATTTTGACCTCAAAGTCTGAAGGTCGTGAAGTTAACCCTCGTCGTTTCACTTAAGCGATGGCTGGGAGCACAGTATCACTCAACGGTCCCTTCAGCCCATGTCCCATTCATCTCTGCTTTCTTCGGAATATTTGCTGGGCAATAGGTTCTTGACTGGTTTATTTCCAGAGTTCTGTCCAGTCATATGATCTTCAACTGTTGATAAAGGAATGCAGTAGCCTATTGGAAAGGCTTTTCGTGACGCCTGAAGTCTCTGACCCACAACACATAGAAGAATTGACTTAACATTGTTGATGAAAATTCGAATTTTGTTCTTTATGTTGACTAAGTGCAGAAAATTTCTACACTGACTTTAGCGTATCGCCCTCGCGATCCTTGTTCTGCCATGCCTACTCGGTGCTGTCGCCTGCAGTTGAAACGATACTGACTAGATCAGTGAGAGAGAGAGAAGTAACCTCTTTAGAAAATTTCTTCTGTAGACAGTGACTGGCGCTCGTTGTTGTCGTCGGTTAGTTAGTTAGATGTCTTCATCAGCTGTGTCTTCTCGTATATTTACTTAAAGTCCTTTATTTGCCGCTTCTTCTGTCAACTTGCTGGTTTCCGTCTGTAAATCTTAGAATTTGTGTGACATAAGACATAAATCGTCCACAAAGTTCAGATCTTCAAGAATCTTCTTATCGGCCCAACTGTCTAATTAGTTAAATGAAATCAAACGACCAGTACGAGGTGATTCAATAACCAGCTATTTGAACATGCTCCCACCTAACAAACATTATTAATTGTTGGTATTAGATGGTTGGAGGTAATCGACAGGAAGCCCTGTCTCACCTAGGTCTCGTGCTAGTTAGCACTCATCAGTCAGCAAGGAGTACCTGGAACCTCGAAGGAATTCATCTCCCTTCTAGGATTCGAACCCGCATCACCCAGTGAGTACTACAGTCAAAGATGTTACCACCACTGAGCTATTCGGGCTGCCACGTGATTGACCTCCTGTAGGAATGTATTGGATATTTTTGATTGGACACTAGTAGGTAACTAGACACATTAGACTAGCTACTGACTAGTGTCCAATCAAAAGTAAACATTATTAATAACCAGTCGATTCGAATAAAATAGTCAGGATAACTAAAAGATATTTTAACATCCCGTTCAGAGAAGTTTTTGTAAACTGTTTGCAATAAAAGATGATCACTCTTCAGAGTAGTGCAGTGTTTTCCTCATGTAGTCTAGAATATTTTTCGGCACGTTAGAAGACGAAGGTTTGTCATCTCACCAACAAAAAGCATCTATTTCACCTGAAGCTCTACATATGTAAGCTGCGCGTTGACCACATGCCGTTTAGATTGAAGTGCTCTCATGAAGTGAACTTACAACCAAGAACTTCGCACAGAAATACAGCACATCAGACTACCACACTTCATAAAGCACATGTAACTGAAGAGAAAGTATCGACAGACGGAAAGGCACAGAAGAGCGAATAATTACATATCGATTGATTTAAAGCAATTAGTTCCGTTTATGAATTTCGACAACACAATAAGAAGACGTAGTTTATCTGAAACGTGTAATGTGCGTATTTGCGCAACACATTTCGGACATTCTGATCACACACACACTGGCGTACTTGTCATACACAGTTTTTATAGAAGGCAAGAAGGCATGAATCATTACAATACAGGTCAGATTGTGTACAGGTCAAGGTCACAAATAATGGGTAGGGAGACGCAAAGGTGTGGGTAAGAAAGAGAAAGAACAAAGCAAGGAAGGGGTTGAAAAGTAAATTGGTCCTTGGTTCTAAATTGGATTACCAAGGCAGGTTTAAGGTAATGACAAATAAGACAGGCTTAGGTCTTTTTCAAGGTTAAGGCTTCAATGAATTTAAGTACGTGGCCCAACCTTGTTTTATATATGGGCTTAAATGCATTATGGAAATCAACCTTATGATCCGTCTCTATAATGTGCTTCGCCATAGATGATGTTGGACATCTATTTCCGGGGTCAGTTGTGTCTGGCGATTTTATTTGTTGTTGCAGCCACTTTGGAATGTGGTCTGTAGCCCTAACCTGCAGAGACCGGTGGGTCCTCCCTATGTACGTGTCTCCACAAATACATGTAAATTGATAAACACAGTGGGATGTGACACTATCGTTCGGATAATGTGAGGGTTTACAGGACAGCATAGTTCTCGTTTTCTCTATGAAGATACGTTTAGCTACATAATAAGTTCTATTAATTGCGGCCTTGAGTCTTTGTCTAGTGACCAGACTTTGTTGATCATCCCTGAACGGTAAGGATATGTAAACAACCTTTATGGGAGCTGATTGGATTGCTAAAGCTATATGGTTGACACTTCCTTAACGCCTAATAAATCTCAGTGGGTAATTGTTATCTAATAATACTTCAGTGAGGTGTCGTCTTTCTTCTTCAATTGTATCGTCAGTACATGTACGGTGAATACGATTGAACAAACACTTAACCAACGCTTTTTTATACTGTAGTGGACAGAAACTATGATAATTTATATACTGTCCCGTCCATGTGGACTTTCTGTAGACAGATTGTTTTACTGACCCATCTTCTCGGCGGGTTATGAGTACATTTAAAAATGGTAGGCAACCATTATTCTCTTTAACGTATGTTTGTGATGTACTGCCTTCTTGCCTTCTATAAAAACTGTGTATGACAAGTACGTGTGTGATTAGAATATCCGAAATGTGTTGCGTCAACACGTTACACGTTTCAGATAAACTACGTCTTCTTATTGTGTTGTCGAAATATCGATTAATGACAAATTAATAAACCTCATAGATTGCAAAGAATGAATGCCTTTACGCCACCAACAGTCTCCAGGTGTTGCTTCTTAGCATGTAGGTTAAGCTAATCGAAGCTTATGTTATGTAACACTCCTCAATGAGGAAGACGACAACTCAGCATGCATAAAACATGTCCCAGCCATATCGATGAATGCTGCTTCACAACTTCATCAACTGACTTTCCCTTCTTCCCTAATACTACTCTACACCTAACCTCATTATTTCCAATCAGATGACACCATCTAACATGGAAAATAAAAACGGGAACATCTATGGTCAAAGACGGCTAGTCTGTTCACACCTCGCCTTTTCAACAGCCATATGTCACACAGCCATGAAGAAGGATGAAGTGACCTGTTGTACAGTAATCTCATCTTTTGATCAATAACCGGAGATCACAATTACATGAAAGATGGTGTACTTTGGCATGACTATATAACATGCTAACATGCAATTGAATCAACAGTAATAATAATAATAATAATAATAACAGTTATAATGAAATTAGCTTACATGTGTGATCAACAATTTCAGATTGAGATTCTCGATTAAATGCTAACGCTTCAAGTAGAGAATAATAACGTTGTAGCCAGGGATTTTCAATTTGTCCAGGACTGAATGGTACCATTAATTTACGTATCATTGCCTTAGCAATATCTACTTGAGATTCATCAGCTAAAGTAAAGAAGTTATATTTAAACCACTTTATTTATATGCATTCAAACAAAATATAAGTTGAACAAATACAACCTGTGGTAGAATGCTCGTCAGTAAGTCAGTCAATCAGTCACACATGTGGTCCGGATTCGATCCTCAACCTTAAGTAAGCCCATAAAAGAGGAGAAGTTGGATGTGAGTGAAGCTGGCAGCCCCAACATGTAAGGGAAACGACATCACCGTTACGGAAACTTGAAAGCTTGAAGCCTAATGTCCCACTCAGAAAGTGAGGACACTTGTAAATCATGAAGTTCAGTATTATTGGTATTAGATGTTTTGAAACAATCGACAGGGAGCCTTGTACCTACGTTTCGCGCTATCTGGCACTCACCAGTCGGCCACTTTGAGGGGACTCATATCCATTTTTTTGATTTGAACTTGTCTGTAAAGCCTGTACATCAATGGTTCAGCGGTGAACTTTCATCAACCAGATCTCATGTGGTCCGGGGTTCGATCCCCTACGGCCGACGCACTCCTTCACCTCTCTCTGTCTCTTTCGTTAAGCCACTAGTAAGGCCTGTAAAGAGGGAAGGGAAGGGTAGGCATTGGGCTAGCAACCCAACGCCGTAAGAAAATAAAACCAATGTGCTAGCGAAACTTCGAAACTCTACCTTGAAGCTCAGCGTTCCACTTAGAACGTTAAAGAATAAACTAACTGACTGACTAACTAAACAACTTTCTAAATGCTTATTCATGTTAGATGAAGGATCATAGTCTTTTATTATCATGAATGTTTAATTGAATATCAAAAGTGAAATTAAAAATTCGATTAGTTAGACGACTTAACTTACCTATTTCCCCAGATGGAATGTCAATTTCACGGAAATCATCAGCAAAGGGTAAAAATATAATATGAAATCCAGGTGGCATAGTCTGAACTTTGACTTCACTGACCTCTTCAGCCTAAACAAGAATAATAATAATAATAGTAATCATATGAGTAAGAATTGTCAAATGAGTAACTCAAAAAGTATGACAAACACCTAATGGAAATCGGTTAGTGGATATAAACATTTTTCCATACTAACTTATAGACCACAATGAATGCATAGCGCTGGCATCTGACAGTATCCCCATACTTCAGGTTTGATGTCAGTGAAATGAAGTTGGAAAACATAATAATATGTGGCTTAAGACAAGTGACAGGAAGCCTTAGATCTTGGTTTCATGCATACTGACATTGTCTCTAGCAAGACGTATCTGCGATCTCGAAGAAACTAATGTCTCCTTGAAGATTCAAACACACAACACGCTGATTGTCTTCAACCAGCTGCCATCAAATAAAAGTGCAGAGAGATGGTGAATCATCTAGATCGGTAACTGCACAGAAAAATGGACCAATAGGATTCAGCCAGCAGCAATAAACACACAAGGAAATGGAGGCATACCATTGATCACTTCCTGATAGCCAATCAACGTAGTTGTAGAATGAAATCATGCAGATACAATAATAATAATAATAGTACATCACTCAGAGAACCATTGGAAAGCCAGCCAGGGAGTACTCGAAAGTTGCTTCGTCCCACTTTGGGACTCTTCATCAGTACTCTCCCAACTGGAACTGGAACCCAGGACCCCCTGGTTACAAGGCGAGCTCGTAGACCAAGGAGACCTCGTAAAATACATTCAGAAGTGGTCACGCTATGTAATGAATTGGCAGGAGTTGGCAGTAGTTGTCTAGTGGGCAAAGCTGGAGTACTCCAAGAAAATTAGATTATATTCTATAGCCTTTAAAATAAACACACAAAAATATGATTTCACTGACAGGTGTCTTAATATCTACACCCTACATGGCTATTTCTTACAATCACCGTGTACTGTCTAAATGATTTTGAAACTACTCTGCGAGTTCACTCAATGTCCACAGTCGATCAAGTGATGGAGAATAAAGCTGTAGGACAGTCTTTTACCTCCTCGGTAAAGCTTTAAGCGCAAATGTTTCGTAACACGTTTGGAAAACAAACGCTAAGTACTACTGACATACCTAGATCCACACAACCAGCTGAATTGAAATTGACACATTGACAAAACCACCAGTGGTAGCGTATCCACCACGTTCATACGAATCATTGGTTGTTTAGAGACATATCTTTGTACAGCTTCAGAATGATATCGTTGAACAGAGTAACTCTTCGCTGAACGCTTCTTCTTGTATGTGGCTTAATAAAGATGCTTATTTATGTCCCGCCTTGTAGATTCAACTCAGTGTCAGTCGATGATAACTTAAGACAGGCAGATATTTGCTTTCATGTGGACATTTAGTCACTGTTAAGTAGTACGAGTAGTACCATACGACAATTAAATTAACAACCTACTCCACTACTTCTAAATCTGTACAACTAAGAATGATAAGAGAAGACCTAACTAGGAAGGCAGTGCGATAATTTAAAGGACAGTCACCTGAGTACTGCTCGTGATAATTGCAGTGAAATAATGACTTGGTTAGTAGTGGTGTGTCTGATAGGTCACCTAGTGGAACTACTATTTCAAATCCTGTCATCACAGAGACTTTCACCCATCACTTTCGATAACAGTCTGCCAAATCAAAGACTATTTCAGATGGTCTAACCACCATGTAACCACAACATAATTGTCGAATCCGACGATTATCATGCTATATACCATATGACACGACAGGCAATCGCTCGAGTGGAACCTGAATGGGAAACAGCGAGTGAGTCGTCGGTGCGAGGGTGACATGGAGGAGATGGTGAGGGGAGGAGATGACGGATTCTACGGGAAAACTTGGGACCAGCTAAAGACGACAGCGAAAAATTGAACAAAGTGGAGATGTGTTGTTCAATCCCTATGTCCTACTCAGAATCCAAGCGAAAACTCATAATAGTAATAAAACTAGCTATGGTTTTTAAGCAGGTAAACAACTAATTGAAATTTACTTTTAATCCCATATACTACTTATAACTGATATGAGTAGTTGAGTATCACTCATATCAACCAGTAATGCTTGCTAGTCAGACAAATGTGATCCAAACACTAGACTGCCGTTTCTCTCGTTTCAGGCAGAGTCCAACTGCGGTGTACCCGATTTGACACAGTTCACAGATCGGAATCAACTTAAAGCACCCTAAATCTGGATAGCAACATTAGTGTAGTGGTGGAACACTGAAAGATAATTCGCTAATATTAGATGGTTGGAGTCAATCGGTAGGAAACCTTGCCCGATCTAGGTTTCGTGCTAGTTGGCACTCACCAGTCAGCAAGGCGTATCTGAACCAAACAAAGGACTAGACGCAATACACTCGTCACTGACTACTGTCCAATCAAAGTAACAAATACAATCCTACAGCCCGAATAGCTCATTGGTGGTAACGTCTCTAACTGCAACACTGAGTGAGGTGGGTTCGAATCTCAGAAGGGACATGAGTTCCTCGCAGGTTGCGGATAGGCCTTGCTGACTGAAGTGTGATTGCCCAACTAGCACGAAACCTAGGTCAAGCAAGGCTTCCTGTAGCCGATTGCTTCCAACCATCTAATATCAACAATTCACAGTACACCATGATGACGAGTCACCTAGAATGCTGGTGACATTGCAAATTTGACTGAAAGAATCCCGTCTGCAGTAAACGAAGGACCAGGTGCAATACACTAGTCACTAGTTACTAGTGTCCAATCAAAGTAATGATATTCGCAATTGACACAGTTTTTTTATTTTATTTTAGAAAACCAGACAGATTACTCAAATCATAGTGTATGACTGATTTGCTTGGCAGTCAAGAAAGTGGGGCATAAATAAACGATGCAATATACTACTGATAAACTCCTATGAGTAGTTGGATATCTCCTCTCACATCAACCAGAGAATTTTATTCAGCAACGACGACGAGTACATCTACTACTCATTTTAACTTTTATTGTTTTTATTTGACTAACTGGCATAAATTAATATCCTCAAGCCTGGAAGAACTCCCCCAGTAGAAACGAAAAAGAAACTGCATATTTTACAAGCAAAACGTCGTGATAAGCAAAAAACAAAAACAGCTACACATAGCCAAGAATGCAGATGCACACGCACAGGCAGAAACTAAATTAATTAACGGAACGTATTATACAAGTTATCAGTATAAGAATAAATCCAGATATATCGAAATGAAAATAAAAGGTAGAAGTAAGAACAAAGAACACTTTGCTTTTTGACGAGTCTTTTTTCAAGAGCTGTGCAGTCGTATTTATTTTTAATTCGCGAAATATACCCATTAAGACATTGAAATAAGAACAAATTAGTTCAGCCGAGAGTCTCTTTTAGGCGAATTCATTCACTTAGCTGTACAGTCGCAAATATATATACAATTATTTTGTGTGTGTGTGTGTGTGTACATTAGGTTTGTCAAAATCAAAATAACAGTTAGTGTGGGTTGTTGATTATATCATCAAGATAATGAAGAAGTTAAAATGTGTGATTAATACTCGAAGTTGTAACTAAGTGGGGTGAAGACTGGTAAGATGTGAGTATAACAATTTTTAGTAACTAACCCATTCAATCTTTTCACCTATTATCTAGTTTATTTTCATAATTGTCTCCAAACTCCTTCACTAGCATCTAATCTTTCTAAATATGTCCATATTACGTAACCCTACTCACATCTTACCAATCTTCACCCCACTTAGTTACAACTTTGATTATTAATCACACATTATTCTGATGATATAATCAACAACCCACACTAACTGTTATTTTGATTTTGACCAACCTAATGTACGCACACACACAAAATAATTGTATATATATATTTGCGACTGTACAGCTAAGTGAATGAATTCGCCAAAAAGAGACTCTCGGCTGAACTAATTTGTTCGTATTTATTTTTATTGAAAAAACTCATAAAACCAATCAGATACTGATAACTGTGTCCTAGAAAGCGTATTGCATAATATGAGATGTGACCTATAACGGAATAAACGACGAGTGTGTTTTCTCTGATAAGGAGCTGGTTGATTTAATGGCGAAGCTTTCGTCGTCCCCCCTCTTCTAGACAACAACCCCCTTAAGTGCGGATTTTTGAGTATGAATTGAATTGTATCTCCTGGAAACCCCGTCACGTGATTTACTTTTTATTAGCTGGTAAATTTTGGTTTAAACACTCTGTGATGAAATTGTCAGGATATCCATTCTTTTTGAACACGGTTAGTAGCAGGTATTTTTCCTCTATCCTCTTCAACACCAGCTAATAAAAAGTAAATCACATATGACAAGAGAGTTCGAATTCCTAATCAATAAAAGTATGATCAATAGAGATGTAAATTAACAACTAGTCATGACAGCGGTTGCCAAGAGATACAATTACATCATTCATGGGGAATTCAAATGAGTTCATTTTATACTAAAAGCTGCACTGAATGGAGGTGTTGTCTAGAAGGACGACGAAGGCTTCTCAATTAAATCAACCAGCTCAGCTCAGCTCAGAGAACACAACTAATTGAATATCATCCACCCCTGAGCTACAAATCTTCTCCAATATTTCTACAACAACGTGTTTATTAGATGTGTTACAGACACAGTGAGACTGTATTCTCATGTTTTGAGCATGCTTTGTTGTTCATAATAATATCAATTGCAGTATGAAGCATTGAGACTTGATTTCAATAGTCCTAGCCCTTCTCTCTCATTTATCATAAGAGAAATTATGATTATTCCCTCAACTTCAGAGTAGAATATAGGGCTTCAAAAGATTTTTTAAAAGTGTGTGAGCGGTTGTTACTTCCCAGCTGCCCACACTGCGGAAGTTAATTGATTCTTCGGGTGCCTGAAACAGAAAGAGGGTTAGTATTGCGTGACCACAGAGCTCAGGAGACAACTGCTTGAGGCCGGTCACACACGGTCTGTATGATCTGGTTTCTTGGATTGGTTCCTTATCAGTAAATTTACCGCCGGTTACGGACCAGCGTAGGGTAAGTCGGGATGTACAGTTTTTGGAGTCGACCCTTTCTAACCCCCTCTCTCCAGAGTGGAGAGACAGCATGGCTGGCTGGCATGCTGGCCATCTGAGGGAAACATCTCACTGCTGTTACATCCCTGTTTCCCAGCAGTACGACTTCGCTCACAGACCCCCAGCATAGTGTCAAAAAGAATAATTCTTACACAATTCCAGTAACTGCTTTTAGTCTAATAACTATCCTAACAAACTTCCTGGCATGGTAGGACCTGCAGGCACAATAGTCTCAGACAGTGTAGCTTGTTGGGGGTCATTGCGATATGCGAGCCTGACCACCACGGTGTCAAAGTAGCAGCTATCGGGGCTTCGGCCGGGGCTTCAACAGCACTTTAGCTGGCTCTACGATTGCCTCTAGGCTCTCATCTCCACCTCGACACACGATCTCCTGCACGTCACCCGCTCAACCACGCCCAATTCGTCGTTCCCCATTTGTACTACACCTGAACGATGGGCGGGCTGGTGATATCATTCGACGATCTCCTCAGCGTGTATCCTAGGTATCTCCAATTTCTCCGGAATATTTGTTGAGTACTAGGTTCTTAGTTGGTTCTTCCCCATAGTTTCTTGTTGCTAATTCTTTCTGGCAGGCCGGCCATTTGATCTTTAAAATGGAGATTACGAAGGCAGCTGTTGATAAACGTCTTCAGAAGATCATTGGAAACGCTTTCCGTGACGTGGAATGCCAGTTTCTGATCTATATGAAAGTGACTTAATTTTGGTGTTGAAAATCCGAATTTCGTTTATTTACACTGAGTGAATCCAGAAGATTTTCAAACTTGTTTTAGTGTGACGAATATCCACCGTGCCTTTTCGATTGTGGTTTTGAAATTATCATTCTTTCTGCCTGCAGTTGAAAAGGTGACTCCTAGATAAGTGAAGGAGACAACCTCTGTCAAATCCCTCCTGTTGATGGTGATTAGCGCTGTTCGTTGTTGCAGTTGGTTGGTTATCTTCATCGCCTCTATCTTATCTATGTTCACCTGGAGTCCTGTCTTCACTGCCTGCTTCTTCAGCCAGTCTGTTGGTTTTCACCTGCAAGTCTTCGATACCATATCTTCTCATTTCTTTAGCTACCTGGGCAGCCTTCCCAGCCAACCTTGTACATTGTACGGCCATTCCACGTCGCCATTCTTATCCTTGCTTTCATTGAAAGAAGACACATCAGCTGGTTGACTAGCTTCCCGAAGGCGGGCTTTCACCAGGCTGCTGTGTCATTTCGCCTCTCCGATTCCAACGAACAATAAGTTTTTTTTAACATTTTTTTGGTATATTTAATATTTTCTCTTATGCCCTGAATTTTTTGTAACAGTTTGACTGGGTTTGTGGGGTAGGTTTGCTGGCCCCACACACTCAACACTCCCCCTTTACTGACTTGTTTAAACATAGAACTTGACATCGATGTGCAGCAGTTCGAGTCGCCACACTCACCTCATGTAGTACATAAAGCAAGAGAAGAAAGTAAAAGAAATGCAAAACAGAGACATTAAAGAGAGATATGAGGCAAAAGGAATAGTAATATGGAAGAACAATATAGTTCCACTGGGAATTATAAGTCACAAGGAGTGGACGCATCTGCGCCAGCCATTGACAACGATCACTTTGAGCCGTATCACCAATAGTCTCCAGCCTTCATTGGGTTTTACTGTCCCGAGGACCCCAACCAGTCAGGAAGCCAGTCTACACCTTCCTACCTGGCTGGCCTGAACTAACTGTTGTGTATTTCATTGACTGATGAAGCCATGTTCTGGTTTGACCACCACTGGCTCTTTTCCAACCTGACCCTATGTCAGCTAACATTGCCTGCTGTCGAGGAAGGCGATGGCTAGTGGTGCATGCGTAACACATATCTTAACCATCTCAGTCGAGGTAGCTTCACAGCCTCGTCGATTGATTTCCCCTCCCCCTTTAACCACACTTTGGGCCAGCTAGCAAACTACACAACGTTAAGATTCTCATTGTGTAAAGTGTTATAATTTCATCTAACTCAAGAAACACCTTATTTCACAGTCATTAGTGAAATTATGACAGCAACAACAAACAAACAAAACAAGACAAGACAATCCAATAATCATCATTAAATGTTAATCGCTTACTTGAGGATAAAGTGCAATAAGACGTGGAAATTGTCCTTTTCTTTGAACATATACAGCTATAGCTAAAAGTTTACGATGTAGACAACGATTCAGCAGAGCTGTAAACCATAAACAACTTCCGTGTATCGACGCTTCATCAGGATAAATAAACTGTGCTGGACGAATATAATAGAAACGTTTTAAAAATTTCATTGATATAAAACCCAACAGATGGATACCTGAAAGAGACGCACAGAGACAGAGAGACAATAAATGCAGCATAAATGAACATTGAGAGAAAACATAAAATAGCGACCACAACAACGACGACAACAACAACCACAATACGAAAACGATAAAACGACAATCGTTTGTGTGAATAAATGCAAGAGGCATATGTACATCGTGAAGTCTCTAGTGGTTGTTTTGAGCCAAGCCAAGTAACGAGGTATGGGTTGAAAATTGTTCTCAATGTCATGGATACATTCACTGTCAACAATTCACAGTGCACCATGATGACAAGCCACCTAGTGGCATGGTGCCTGGGGGTCGAACACCAGACCACGTGAGGCGTGTTTGGCGAGAGTTCTATCACTGAACCAATTATGTACAGGCTTTACTCGTGGATTCAACTCACTAAAAGGATATGAGTTCCTTCAAGAATGCAGATACACCTTGCTGACTGGTGAGTGCCAACTGGCACGAAACCTAGGTCCTAGCAGGACTTCCTGCCTACCATCTAATATCAACAATTCACAGTGCACCGTGATGGTAAGTCACCTAGTGCTATATTGGTTACATTGCAAACCAGGCCGATAGAATTCAGTCTACAGTAAACAAAGGACTAGACATACATGATAATAGTTACTGACTAGGGACCAATCAAAAATATCCAATACAGTCCTACAGGAAGTCAATCGCAAGCCAGCCTGAATAACTCGGTGGCAACGTCTCTGATGGCAGTACTCACTAAGTGATGCGGAATCGAATCTCAGAACGGACATGAGTTCCTTCGAGGTTGTAGATACGCCTTACTGACTGGCAAGTGTCAACTAACACGAAACCTAGGTCAGGAGAGGCTTCCTGCCGATTGCTTCCAACTGTCTATTACCAACAACACATTCATTATGTGTCGTCCATTGAGTCCTCATGCTTTCGCCCTGTTGGTTTCCTTCTCACGTACTTTTCTGCTGATTAAGGCCAGTCTGAATTTCGTCCTTCTCCCCTGTCCCTACCTTTGTGTGCTGTATGGAGTGTGACAACTTGCTGAACTGAAACGTCTCCAAGTAAAATTTAACGTTGCAACTCAGTCAGTCAGTCGGGTATATAAACATCTTTCGAGTTCTGACACTTGAATATGCTGTTTTCCATCATGATTTGATGAAATACATACGGTTAGACAATATCCGACAAATATCTTCAATGCACACTGCCTTGTGAACAAACACACTAAAGGTAGCTCAACAAACACTGAAATTTTCAAGTATTCACCAATGAGCTTGAACTACTTTGTATGTGTATGGTGGGGTTTGAACTCGTTATCCAGTTATTAAGAGTCGATTACCAAAAACTACTAAGCTAAAACTTCCACCTCGTGATAAAAATTGAAATACCTCGTTTTCACTATACATATTTTACACAGTTTCCCTGGGTGATCCGGGATAAGTTCCTTGAGGATTGCAGATACACCTTGATCACGAGTGCCTACAAGCATGAAATCTAGTTCCAAAGTTCCTTACTGACTCCCTCCAATGATCTAATGACAATTCAGAGAGTACCGCCATGATGGTGAGCCATCTAGTAGTTTGCTGGCCACATTGCAAATTTGACTGATAGAATTCAGTCTGTAATAAACAAAGGACTAGACATACTACACTAGTCAGTGACTAGTATCCAATCGAACATATAGACTTTGAATAATTTTGAAATTCACTGAAGAGTTTAAAGAATTGATGACTGTTGAGAGCATTTACAGAACGCTTAATACGATGGTTGCCATGAGTGCATTGTACCTGCGACATGTAGTCATTTTGAGGGTTAGAAGCTACGACCAGTATACTGTTATTATTATTATTTCCTTTAGTTCCTAGAGGAACATAGGGCTTCAGTCGCACGTCTCCACTGCGTTCGGTTCTCCGCCAATGTTTTCACCACCTGGCTCCACGTCTGCCCACATGCTTTCATCTCCTCTTCACATGACTTCCTCCATGTCACCATCTCACCAACGACCAACTCACCGCTTCCCATTTGGGTTTCACTCGAGCGATAGCCTGTCGTGTGATGTCACTTGATGGTTTCCTCAGAGTATGGCCAATCCACCTTCGTTTCTTCCTGCATATTTGTTGCACAATTGGTTCCTGCTGGGTTGGTTCGTTCATTGTCAGAGATCCCACCCTGTTGCTGATGTTTTCTGGCCAGCCATCGGATCTTGAGTAGTATTGAGTAAAGAAAGCTGTGTGATGAAGTTCTGTAGTTTGTTTGAGGTGCTCTCCATGACGCGGCGCCAAATCTGTGATCCATAAAGTAGTACTGACTTCACATTGGAGTTGAAAATCCGGATCTTATTTTTCATGCTGAGTGCTGTTGACCTCCACACAGACTTGAGAGTAATGAAAGCTTACTTGCCTTGCTTTCCCGGTACTCGCTTTGATATCCCCATCAGTTCCGTCAGCCTGTAGTTGAAACGATGCTTTCCAAGTAGGTAGGTATGTGGGTGGATAGGTAAAGGAGGTTGCTTCTTTCAGATTCCTCCCATTTATGCTGATTGTTTTCTGTTGTCGTTGCAGTTCGTTAGGAATCTTTATCACCTCTGTCTTCTCTATATTTACCTGAAGTGCTATCACCTCTGGATACTTCTTCTTCCAACTTGTTGCTTTTCACCTGCATATCTTCCAGATCAGACAAATACCATCGGCGAAGCCCAGATCCTCCAAGTCTCTTTTCGTGTGGGTCCATTTTATGTCTGTCTCCTCACTGCCCGCTGACTGTCTGTCGCACTATCCAGTCTACCGCAATCAGGAAAATGATTGGAGATAGTAGGAAGCCAGCTTTGTAATACTTCCCTCTTCACTTCGAAGGATTCCTTGAGTCTTTCGTTGTGGATTACTTGGCACGCAGCATTATCGTACAACTGTTGGATGAGATGTATAATTGTTGACGGCCAGTATAAATTAGGCAGAATTAAGGGGGATATAACGCTGATATACATCTATGTCAGGTCCAATGCACCGTATTCCAGAAAAATCTTTTACTATGTATACTTACTGAATACTGAATTGAAGTTGGGTGTAACTATCAGTCACTTGAAGTAGTATCCAGCAATATTTTCGGCTTCCACAGTAAAATATGGTAAAGTTTCACCACGGACTGTGGAAATCGTAAGTCACGACTTCCATTCAATGTGTCACCAGTTAACTCTAAGTAGCTAATTAGGATTCGGATGGTGTGAACTGAGTCGAACCGAATGAACCACTGATGACATCGACTACAAGCAAGAGGAACAGTTGTCCAGTGGTGGTTAGATCACTTCGATCTGTCTAGCAAGCACTACCGATTGATGTAAGAGGCATCCAACTACTCATATCAATCTATAAGTAGTATACATCAACTAAATCAAATTTCAGCGGAAAACTTACCAACAGGTGCAATATTTTTCATTGCTTCATTAATTTCATCTTTATCAAAGCATACATAACGACCATCAAGTTTAATACCACGAACTAGATCATGATCAGCGAGTGCATCTTTCACTGGATCATACGAACCATATGGATCTATGCCTTTGTAATATTGCCTTCTTACTGTGATTGGCTTATTGTCATTAGATGAAAGCCATATTGGAGTAGGCAAGTGTACTGGACGAATTAGACAATACACTGAAACACCTAAAGCCAATTCTGGTGATGGTCCAAGATGAAACGGTAAACGGCATACACGTGATCGACGTAATTCATGACAATTAACACTACAGTAGGTTTTAAAAATATAGGGGAAAAAATATCAATAATAATACGAAACTAGATAGAGGATCAGTTTAAATATGTAAGGAAATCATAAAAACATAATCTAATTCAACATCAGATTATGCACAAAAATACGGCAGTTTAAGTTGCTACATTTCATGAAGTGTAGACACGAAGATAGTGTTATTGATGTAAGGATAAAATTAAGGCACTGTGGTGATAGAGTATAACTCCATCATGGATAAAACTTTAAATCTGATAAAATCACACACAGTGTTTGTTATACAGTAATATTTACTGATGACCATGTTTCCAGCACAATTTACTGCTGCTCATAATCATATCAAGGCACTACTCACCCGAATTTCTTGCCTCGTTTATATACATGAGTAAAAAATTGATTAGACATTTGAATAATATCAATATAAGATAAAGTACATTCGGAAATAATATTAGTTTTTATGAGTTGACCACGGATTGATATCAGTTAGGGAACCATCGAAAACCAGCATGGAGTACTGGACAGCTGTTTCTGTAGTCCTAGTTTGGGAATCATCGGCTGTACGCACCCACCACAGAGGGTTCGAACCCAGAACCTTCCGGTTACAAGCAAGCAAGCAAGGTCGTATACTATTCAGCCGCTGGGACCCGATTCAGTGACCAGACCATGAATTCTAACTTCTACCAATTCGTGATTTAGCGCGACCCCAACGAATGTCCTCGATGGGACATCCATCCTCACACTTGACATCTGGATGGACCTCACTGGTCACGATTTCTCACTAGAACTCCAGGAAATTCCATCCTGTAGCAAGTCAATCGTAAAAACAAATGTAATCCTTAGAAACCAATCATAGAAAATATTATGTGTTATCAATCAAATACAATCAGATGGGAAATAAGACGAGTGTTTTTATAGTAAAATAAATAAGTAACTTGTTAGAACGTTATAATATGAATTGAAATGGAATTTTAACATTATTTATTATCCGCCTCTGATTTGACTGGTGGTAATAATATCTTCCATATCTCTGGTATTTGTGCTGAGCCCCTCCTATTGCATGTGTTGGCTGTAGACTAGATGTACAAGGCAGGATTCAGTAATTAATCTCTCTCGCTCTCCAACTACATATATTACCTTTTAGAAGTTTAACCCTCTCCCACACACTCTATTGTGTGGTTGTGTGTTAATGCATGCAGTGCAATTGTTGAGTTTTCTTTTTCTAAATTACTTACCTCTGTGGGATCAATCATACTAACCTTAGCTATATTCTTATGTTCTGATAATCTCACTACTCCTGATCTACTAGTTTAATCTATGTAGTTCACTCAACTCACTCACAGACGTTGCAAAGTATTTTGTAAATTATATTATTTTATTTAATTCGGTCCACCGGGTCCTTTAGCCTACAGAGCTTGTCCTACATGAGTGAGTTTGTAGGTTTGAATGCCACTCTGATTCCTGCTTTATTCAGAATCCTACGGAGGGTTTCAGATGTCCTCTCCTTATATGGTAAAACTGCAGATGACCTATATTCTTTCTTATTTATGTTCTCATTATTAGTTTCACCATTATTTTTGTTTTGCCTCCGACATCTTTTGGTCTTCCTAATGAATTTTATAGGATAGTTAGATGTTTATCACCAGCGCTTCTTCTCCCATCTGTTTCATTCTATCATTTACGTTTTTTGTTGTACTACTGAGTGCCACCGTTCGGTTTTTTAGAGACACCCTTAACTAAGCCTGCCTCAACAGTTAACGGATGAGACGAATTAAAGTCTAAATATCTGTTAGTAGAATGCGTTGGATTTTTATAAACGCTACGGTACATGCAGTTTACATTCTTCTTCTGTTCGTTTTATTTAACAATCTGTCATCACAGCTAATTCCCCTTGTTTATTTTGCGATTCAAATGTGCATTTTATTTCTTTTACTAGTGAGTTTGAAGTATGCGCTGAAGATGTCACCTAGTAGGGTGATGAAAGCTTCACAAATTAACTATCCAGCTCAGAGAACACAGCCACATCAAAAACTGTGTGATTTTATTAAAATAAAATTTTATTCATAATGGAGACAGTGTTTTATTATTATTCCCTCAGGTTTTGAAGGGAGCATAGGATTTCAACAACACCTCTGGATTTCATCCTCTCTTTCTTTGCAGTCAACTTTAGCCAGCAACACGACTGCCCATAAGCACTCATCTCCTCCTCTTCACACGATCTCCTCAATATCAACCTCAGGTGCCCAACTCGCATTTTCCCAATCGGACTCAGCTCGAAAGCCTAGGATGCAATGCCATTCAACTGTTTCCTCAGCGAACATCTGCTCAGAAGATAACAGGAAACGTAAAAGAAATGGGAAGAATCTAGAATAAACAGCCTACTTAAAACTTGCAATATCAAAAAATTTCCATCTCTCTCTCTGTTGAATATATTTTCCCTCCTTCGGTTTGTTTTAATCGATCAACATATAATCTCTAGTGGTATTACGTACACTCGTAGGTATTTAAAATGTTTACAAGCTTCTGTTTCGTAATTTCATATTAAACTTGAGGAAAGGCACGATTGTGCGTGGTAGTGTGTTCCAATACAACATGAGATAATTGTTCCTCAGTTATGTGTGTTCTTGGGTCTCAAAATCTACTTCTGAACATTCTACAGGGTTGGCTTTCACAGCTAGATATTGTGGATATCTTAAAGGAAGGAGACAAAGCAGATATATCACATAATGGAATGGTTTGTGCTTCAGGTCAGAGAGAGCATTGTGTCACAGGAAGGATATACTGTCAATTAATCAATATTTTACTTGAAGATATTGTACAAAGAGCGAAAATATCATGCAGTAAACTCCTCTGAAAATTCTGAACATTTTATAAATACTGTCCAGAATAAGAATTTCATGGATATATAGAAGATAAAAAAGAGTGAATACGTCATCAGTGTCACTGTGAGTGATTTTCAGCCTTATCATCAACAGTTTTGAGGATCCTAGAGCTATTTTCATCTGACCAGACCTTGTTCTTTCCGCATCGAATCCTCATGTTAAGTAGTAACACTGCACGATGAGGAAGGCTTCGACTGGGCATGCATAGCGCATACTTGAACTATCTCAATTGCCTTACATCGATTGAATTTCTCTCCTTACCTGACACTTTTTGTTGAACTTAATCATTACTTATATACCATACTATACCGTCTGGTACGATAGAGAGAATAAGCATAAGTAATTTCAGAGTGAACATTGGCTAGTTTCTGCTCTTCAAGATCAAATTAAGGATGAATTAGTCTGAATCTATAGAGGTAAGTCATTACCACAGTTTCGTATAAATACTGCATATCTGTCCAAATCAGTTTAAAAGGAATGACTGTATGCATCTTGTGATACAGTATATGTTCCTTTAACAGAAGTGTCCACATTGGTTTAATATTAATTTGTTTCAGTATGGCGAAAATATTCACTCAGATATTTACAGCCGAAATACTCGCTCTCCACTAACATGTCGGTTCAAGTGCAGATACCATTGTAATATTAAGAACACAATATTCAGCGAAGAGACTCTTTTCAACAACGAATTTATTATCAAGCTGTACAGTTGTGTGCGACGCTCTGTTCTAGAACACCTGATCTCCTCCTGTTACTCTACCAAGCCTGACTATGATTTTAAGATCATCTACCGAATCCATGCAAACATGTCGGAGGCGGTTTCATCATTTAAAACTTCTAAAGACAGTGCAGGCTTTGGCCATTCATGAATTCAAGCCAGACATACCTTTGTGTACAAAAGAAGTATGTACAATCCCTACTTCTGCCTTGGCCGTAGAGCCATAGACATTTATTTATTTATTTTGTTTATTTAGCTAATCTATGTACATTTCCCTCATTACTACGATTATTATTATTATCATTACTATTCTCATTCTGATATGCTTTCGCTTGTCCCAATTGTCATTCTAAATCCAAAATTACTTTTTAAAATATTGAATTCTATTTCATCAAATTTCACACCATGTTATGTAAAAAACAAAAGTACATACTAATGAGCAATCATATTTAGATGGGTCATGTATGTACTTTTGTTTTTTATTTAACTGAGTAATTGTCATGACCTTTATTTTATTTTATTTTATTATTGTTAACCATGTTAGTTGTAAAGCGGTTGTAAGGAAACTACGAAATGAAGATATCATCTCACGAAATTTGTCGTCTTAATGCCTGATTATAATAAAAAATTGTTTTTGAATACACAGGTTTGGGGCTTGAGTTTATGAATAGGTATAGCCCCGGCGTATTTCAATGAGCGCCCTTGACCGTTTATACATGTATATTAACATAAATCGAGTTCACAAATGAATGTGTGATCAGATTGTTCGAAATGTATAACGGAGATCACTAAACCAAATAACATAGGTAATAGTACATCTATTATCATATCAAAATAAAGTTTACTAACTTGAGCATCGTTCGTCAGTCCGGTGTCATTTTTCGTTGTCAAGTTGGTCAGTTGGTAAAGATAACAAAATCAAGTGTAGATTGTTAGATTTGATCAGTGTGTAAAATCATAAAAGTAGTGTGTGTTTACATAGTGAACTTGCATATCACATTCGTGTTAATTTTGTTACTTCATGGGGGAAGGGAGGGAGGTGTTGTAACCAGGTGAGATTCTGTTTTAGTCCGTCATTCCTATACAGGCAGTTTGGATTCCACTTGATATGAAGTGCTTCTGATATTAGACGCTCTTTATGATTTCTGAAATGCTTTTTCTGGATTATTTCAGTATTGTCAAAACTGATTTTGTGGCTTGAATCTATAGTGTGTAGGTAAGCTATAGCTGATGATTTTTCAAGCTGTTCTAGTTCAACCGGATTTATTTCCGGGTGTTCGAACAGATGCTCTACGATGTTCATTTCTTCTGATTTTGATATATCGAGATGTTTGTCCGATGTATATCGCATCACATTCCAAGCAGTTTATTTTATGGACACAATTAGACAGAGAATCTTTAGGGATTTGGTCTTTTATATGGACAAGGTTGTTTCGTAGTGTGTCTGATGTTTTGAAGAAAGCTCTAGTGTCGAGCTGATTGAGTACTCTCCTGATATCGTCTGACGTCTCTGTTCTATATGGAATGACGACTGTTGAGGTCCATGTTTTCGGAATGCGTTTTCGGCCACAATTAATGTCTGCGTTGATTTTGTTGATGAAGTTCCTTGGGTAGTTGTTTTGCTTGAGAGTTTCAGTAATGTTTGATATTTCTTCTTTTTCTTTCTCGTCGGTTATCAGAGTGTGCTCGTCTAAGAAGACTTGAAACAACTGTCTCAAGTAACACATCTGTTTCCAACCTTACTTTTATTTTTATACTTAGTTTCCTGTATTTTACCTTTGCCCACCTTGACTTCTTAACCTTCGACAGCCTTTCGCCTTTGTCTGGATTCCTAGCCTATCTGTGTGGTGTTGCAATTTCCTTCTTTCTTCCCTTCCTGATGCTAGTTAACGAATACCGTTTGAACTTGTTAAACATGACTGTTTTCCTTCCTGATGAAGTTCTTTATCCGTTTTCTACTTATATTTTACTTTTAATCTATGTTGTTTTATTATTATTGTGTGGCGCATTTTCTTGGTGCCATATTGTACCAAGATTTTTCGCGTTTAAATAAAAATTATAAATAATACTAATGTCGAGCTGATTGAGTACTCTCCTGATATCGTCTGACGTCTCTGTTCTATATGGAATGACGACTGTTGAGGTCCATGTTTTCGGAATGCGTTTTCGGCCACAATTAATGTCTGCGTTGATTTTGTTGATGAAGTTCCTTGGGTAGTTGTTTTGCTTGAGAGTTTCAGTAATGTTTGATATTTCTTCTTTTTCTTTCTCGTCGGTTATCAGAGTGTGCTCGTCTAAGAAGACTTGAAACAACTGTCTCAAGTAACACATCTGTTTCCAACCTTACTTTTATTTTTATACTTAGTTTCCTGTATTTTACCTTTGCCCACCTTGACTTCTTAACCTTCGACAGCCTTTCGCCTTTGTCTGGATTCCTAGCCTATCTGTGTGGTGTTGCAATTTCCTTCTTTCTTCCCTTCCTGATGCTAGTTAACGAATACCGTTTGAACTTGTTAAACATGACTGTTTTCCTTCCTGATGAAGTTCTTTATCCGTTTTCTACTTATATTTTACTTTTAATCTATGTTGTTTTATTATTATTGTGTGGCGCATTTTCTTGGTGCCATATTGTACCAAGATTTTTCGCGTTTAAATAAAAATTATAAATAATACTAATGTCGAGCTGATTGAGTACTCTCCTGATATCGTCTGACGTCTCTGTTCTATATGGAATGACGACTGTTGAGGTCCATGTTTTCGGAATGCGTTTTCGGCCACAATTAATGTCTGTGTTGATTTTGTTGATGAAGTTCCTTGGGTAGTTGTTTGCTTGAGAGTTTCAGTAATGTTTGATATTTCTTCTTTTTCTTTCTCATCCGTTATCAGAGAGACTTGAAACAACTGAAATCTTGGCGCTGATGGGGCATGATGATCTGAAGTCTAAATATTCATTGGAGTGGGATTTCTTCATGAATATGGATATACTGAAATATCTGCTTTCCCTCCTCTTAACTAGCCAGGCAGTCTAGAAATGGTAGTTCACCGACGTCTGATTCTGCTTCCGAAGTGAATTGGATTCTGGGAGATACACAGTTTATTTTCTCCAGGAATGAACTGTGTAGATCTCGTTTCAGCACTACAAAAGTATCATCTACATATCTTAACCATATTTTAGGAGTGAGTATGCTTGAAAAGATGTTATCTTCGAATCTATTCATGAAAAGGTCGGCGACTATTGGAGAGACTGGTGAACCCATAGCAACACCATTTGTCTGTCTATTTAATCTCACTTTAACTGTGAAATAATTACTTTCTAGACAGAATTTTAAGCTCTTAATTATTTCGCCGGTGTCCAGTGGACATCTTTGTGATAGCGTTGTATCTGATTCTAGTAGACTGGAAATGATATCAAGACTTTCGGTCATAGGGATACTAGTATATAATGAGCTAATATCATGGCTTACCATAATGTCTTCTTTATCAATTTCTCGGTGTTCTATTTGGGATTTGAAATCATATGAATTTCTTACAATATTTTGAGTGTTCTTTTGTAGTGGTTGTAGTACCGAGAGTAAGTATTTAGAGAGGTTGTATGTCCGTGAGTTGGTGAAATCTATTATTGATCTTAATGGAACGGTGGGTTTATGTATCTTTGGTTGACCGTAGAATCTTGAAGGTACATAAGACTTTGGTTTTAATTTTAAACCAGAGAGAATTTCCAATTTTGGGATTCATTTCTTGAATGAGTCTGTTTGTATTTGGTTTGATTTTGTTGAATTCGGCGGATTTCTGCTTCTCTTCAATGAGTGAGTATGGTCATTCAGATAGGTGTTCAATCGCCTTCTTTTCATAATCCGTTCTGTTCATTATCACAATGACGTTTCCCTTGTTGGCTTTTGTTATAACGATGCTTCTGTCTTTCTTCAGATTTCTTGGTGTTTCATATTCTCGTTTGGTGAGTTTAGATGTTATGCTTCGTTGTGTCATTAATATGTGTGATATCTTTTGACGCATAGGTTGTGATTCTTCATTGGTGAATCGTTGTAGAGCAGGTTCGATCATAGGTGCTATTTCCTGGACCGATAATGGCTTTCCAGTGATATTGAAATTCAGATATTTCTGTGGTGATGAGATTCCATTTTCGGTTAGTATCTTGTCTGACATGTTATGTATGGCTCTAATATTCTTCATATCATTTGCAGAGGTTTTCTTTGGTTGTTTCTTTTCTTCGAATTTCAAGAATTTTTGTATTTGTCTTCTCTTAGTGACATTATGAAAATGAGATTCTCGTTCATTAAGCAATTTTTAAAGGGATTCATAGATATGGCTTGTAACAAGTAATGTTAAACAGTCGTCTACATTTTTGATTCTCGTTCGATAAGATTCAATTTTGACGTTGCAGTTATGTATTCTTTCTCGTAAAAATTCTCTGGAGATATGATTTACAGCAAGCATGGACTTGTGTGAATATTCAAGAGGTTCAATTCGTAGTGACTTCGGAATAGACAGCGTACTCATGTCCCTTCTGAGATTCTAACCGGCATCACCCATTGCTGCAGTCAGAGACGTTACCAACACTGAGTTATTTGGGCTCGCGATTTACCTCCTGACTGATATAATTCTGTCTGCACCAAAGAAACGACTAGACACATCACACTGGTTACTAGTGTCCAATCAAAATATCCGCTACAGTCCTGCATGAGGTCAATGGCGAACCGGAATAGCTCAGTGGTAACGCCCCTGAATGCAGCACTGGATGACGCCGGTTCGAATCTCAGAAGGGAGATGAGTTACTTCGAGGTTGCAGATACGCCGTGCTGACTGTTGAATGCCAACTAGCAGGAAACCAAGGTCAGGCAAGGCTTCCTGTATATTACCTCCGACCATCTAATACCAACAGTTCAAAGCGCACCGTGACGGCGAGCTACATAGAATGGTGGCCACATTACAAACCTGACATATAGAATTCAGTCTGCACCAAACAGAAGGGACTAGACACATCACACTAGTTACTGACTAGTGTCCAATCAAAAAACAAACTTGATGCATTATGGACAACTAACGATTGCACCACACAAATCCTCGTAATTTGTGCGACGGCTGGAATACTGTTAGGATGTGCACATCAAAACGGGTGGTTTTGTTAAACGGGTTCACCTGCTCCCCACCGGAACCTTCAACTTGAAATCTGATTCACAAGGCAGTGGGAACAGCGCGTCAGGAGCTACACTCCCATGGTTTTAGGTAACCGAACCATGTTTATGCATCATTTGACTCGTTGGCATTCTACAGCCTATGTGCCTATGCACCAAATGTTTGGAATTAGGGTTTTCCAGCTGCCCTCCATAGGTAGGTAGGTAGACATCTGCATGTCCATCAGTCCTGTTTCTCCTTCCACTTTTGCAAGGGACACCTCAATCGCATGTAGGCAGTAAACAGGAGTTATATGGCAACTTGAGATCATCTCAAGAGGAAGACTAAAGTATCCCCCCAAACACACACACACAGCCGTACAAGGTCAATTATGAAGCCAATAAAAAGGCATGGTGATAAACGAAAGAATAATGATTAATTAAAAATACAAAAAAATAAAATAAAAAGTAACCCTCAACAACTTGACTTACTTGTTCACGTATAAGTACTCCAAGCTTTTCTCTACTATACACTTGACCAATTTCTTCATCAAGCATTTTATCCAATATATAACTAACAGGAAATGCAATTGGAAAGGTGAGCAGCATAAATGTTTTTGTCAACCATAAAGTTTTTGCACCGATAGCTAATCCATGCCTTGAGCATACAGCTTGTGGCATAATTTCACCAAATAGTGTAATACCAATAGTAGAGGCGATAACAGCGAATAAACCACTCCCAGTTAAATCATCCATAAGTATAGTTAATGATGTATTGACAAGTACATTACCCAGCAGAAGTGTACATAATAACAGATTGCCTTTTTCACGTACAGGACGTATAGCTTTAGCATAACCTTTTTCCTTATGTGAACCAGCACTTTCAATAATTTTTAATTCAGTTTTATCAAGTGACATAAGGCCTAAATTAAGACCACTAAATAAACCAGATAGAAAAAATAATAAAATAATTAAAATAATTTGTACCCATAATGGCATAAGAGCACTTGTTGTCCGAAAGGATTAGCGATACTCCGGTGTAGTACCATTAGCATAGATCCATTTACCGTCAATATCAGAATAATTCCGTGGTTGCGGTTGTGATGGTGATGCGGTATTTTCTGATGAATCAATATGTGGAATAATTTGTACAGGAATAATACGAATGCATAGATAAAAAGCAGCTTCATTACTGGATAATTCACGTAAACTTATAACGCTGGTAGTAACAAATGAACTCTCTGGAAGTGTATTAAATGAACTAGTAACACGTTCATGTTCATATGGTGAATTTGGAGGCTTTCTAATTGATGCAAATGATATATGACTAATATAATCCATTTGTAAACCAAATATAGTTAAATGTATAGGTTTATTAGATTGTAAGACAATGATATGATCTGTTATTGATTCATATGTATCTGGAAGTGCCCCATAAATAACAGGCTCAGTAGAGATTGTATGAATGAGTAATAGTTTTAAAAATACTGTAATTAAGATTATATACAATTTCATTTCCAACTCCTATAGAAGAAAACAAAAGAAAAGAGATGGAAAAATGGAATAAAAAAGTTAATATACATGCAATAATGTTATCCAGTCCATCCCAAAGAAGATACTTCTGCTTAATCTAGAATTCAAAAGGTGACACTGAAGCAGAAATCCTTTGTAACCTACCTATATTATCTTTTAGAATTTTAACCCTCTCCCACACACTCTATTGTGTGGTTGTGTGTTAATGCATGGAGTGCAATTGTTGAGTTTTCTTTTTCTAAATTACTTATCTCCGTGGGATCAATCATACTAACCTTAGCTAAATTCTTATGTTCTGATAATCTCACTACTCCTGATCTACTAGTTTAATCTATGTAGTTGACTCAACTCACTCACAGACATTGCAAAGTATTTTGTAAATTATATTATTTTCTTTTATTCGGTCCACCGGCTCCTTTAGCCTACAGAGCTTGTCCTATATGAGTGAGTTTGTAGGTTTGAATGCCACTTTAATTCCTGCTTTATTCAGAAACCTACGGAGGGTTTCAGCTATCGTCTCCTTATATGGTAAAACTGCACATGCCTTACATTCTTTCTTATTTATGTTCTCATTATTAGTTTCACCATTATTTTTGTTTTGCCTCCGACATCTTTTGGTCTTCCTAATAAATTTTGTAGGATAGTTAGATATTTATCACCAACGCTTCTTCTCCCATCTGTTCCTTTCTATCATTTACGTTTTTTGTTGTACTACTTAGTGCTACCGTTCAGTTTGTTAGACACTCAACTAGGTCTGCCTTAACAGTTAACGGATGAGACGAATTAAAGTCTAAATATCTATTAGTAGAATGCGTTGGATTTTTATAAACGCTAGGGTACATGCAGTTTACATTCTTCTTCTGTTCGTTTTATTTAACAATCTGTCATCACAGCTAATTCCCCTTGTTTATTTTGCGATTCAAATGTGCATTTTATTTCTTTTACTAGTGAGTTTGAAGTATGCGCTGAAGATGTCACCTAGTAGGGTGATGAAAGCTTCACAAATTAACTATCCAGCTCAGAGAACACAGCCACATCAAAAACTGTGTGACTTTATTCAAATAAAATTTTATTCATAATGGAGACAGTGTTTTATTATTATTCCCTCAGGTTTTCAAGGGAGCATAGGATTTCAACAACACCTCTGGATTTCATCCTCTCTTTCTCTGCAGTCAACTTTAGCCAGCAATACGATTGTCCATAATCACTCATCTCCTCCTCTTCACACGCTCTACTCTATATCAACCTCAGATGCCCAACTCGCAGTTTCACAATCGGGTTCTGCTCGAAAGCCTAGCATGCAATGCCATTCAACGGTGTCCTCAGCGAACATCTGCTCAGAAGATAACAGGAAACGTAAAAGAAATGGGAAGAATCTAGAATAAACAGCCTACTTAAAACTTGCAATATCAAAAAATTTCCATCTCTCTCTCTCTCTGTTGAATATATTTTCTCTCCTTCGGTTTGTTTTAATCGATCAACATATAATCTCTAATGGTATAACGTACACTCGTGGGCATTTAAAATGTTTACAAGCTTCTGTTTCGTAATTTCATATTAAACTTGAGGAAAGGCACGATTGTGCGTGGTAGCGTGTTCCAATACAACATGAGATAATTGTTCTTCAGTTATGTATGTCCTTGGGTCTCAAAATCTACTTCTGAACATTCTACAGGGTTGGCTTTCACAGCTACATATCATGGATTTCTTGAGGGAAGGAGACAAAGCAGATGTATCATCATAATGGAATGGTTTGTGCTTCAGGTCAGAGAGAGTATTGTGTCACAGGAAGGATATACTGTCAATTAATCAATATTGTACTTGAAGATATTGTACAAAGAGCGAAAATATCATGCAATAAACTCCTCTGAAAATTCTGAACATTTTATGAATACTGTCCAGAATAAGAATTTCATGGATATATGGAAGATAAGAAAGAGTGAATACGTCATCAGTGTCACTGTGAATGATTTTCAGCCTTACCATCAACAGTATTGAGGATCCTAGAGCTATTTTCATCTGACCAGACCTTGTTCTTTCCGCATCTAATCCTCATGTTAAGTAGTAACACTGCACGATGAGGAAGGCTTCGACTTGGCATGCATAGCGCATACTTGAACTATCTCAATTGCCTTACATCGATTGAATTTCTCTCCTTACCTGACACTTTTTGTTGAACTTAATCATTACTTATATACCATACTATACCACCTGGTACGATGGAGAGAATAAGCATAAGTAATTTCAGAGTGAACATCGGCTAGTTTCTGCTCTTCAAGATCAAATTAAGGATGAATTAGTCTGAATCTATAGAGGTAAGTCATTACCACAGTTTCGTATAAATACTGCATATCTGTCCAAATCAGTTTAAAAGGAATGACTGCATGCATCTTGTGATACAGTATATGTTCCTTTAACAGAAGTGTCCACATTGGTTTAACATTAATTTGTTTCAGTATGGCGGAAATATTCACTCAGATATTTACAGCCGAAATACTCGCTCTCCACTAACATGTCGGTTCAAGTGCAGATACCATTGTAATATTAAGAACACAATATTCAGCGAAGAGACTCTTTTCAACAACGAATTTATTATCAAGCTGTACAGTTGTGTGCGACGCTCTGTTCTAGAACACGTGATCTCCTCCTGTTACTCTACCAAGCCTGACTATGATTTTAAGATCATCTACCGAATCCATGCAAACATGTCGGAGGCGGTTTCATCATTTTAAACTTCTAAAGACAGTGCAGGCTTTGGCCATTCATGAATTCAAGCCAGACATACCTTTGTGTACAAAAGAAGTATGTACAATCCCTACTTCTGCCTTGGCCGTAGAGCCATAGACATTTATTTATTTATTTTGTTTATTTAGCTAATCTATGTACATTTCCCTCATTACTACGATTATTATTATTATTATTATTACTATTCTCATTCTGATATGCTTTCGCTTGTCCCAATTGTCATTCTAAATCCAAAATTACTTTTAAAAATATTGAATTCTATTTCATCAAATTTCACACCATGTTATGTAAAAAACAAAAGTACATACTAATGAGCAATCATATTTAGATGGGTCATGTATGTACTTTTGTTTTTAATTTAACTGAGTAATTGTCATGACCTTTATTTAATTTTATTATTGTTAACCATGTTAGTTGTAAAGCGGTTGTAAGGAAACTACGAAATGAAGATATCATCTCGCGAAATTTGTCGTCTTAATGCCTGATTATAATAAAAAATTGTTTTTGAATACACAGGTTTGGGGCTTGAGTTTATGAATAGGTTTAGCCCCGGCGTATTTCAATGAGCGCCCTTCACCGTTCAAACATGCATATTAACATAAATCGAGTTCACAAATGAATGTGTGATCAGATTGTTCGAAATGTATAACGGAGATCACTAAACCAAATAACAAAGGTAATAGTACATCTATTATCATATCAAAATAAAGTTTACTAACTTGAGCATCGTTCGTCAGTCCGGTGTCATTTTTCGTTGTCAAGTTGGTCAGTTGGTAAAGATAACAAAACCAATTGTAGATTGTTAGATTTGATCAGTGTGTAAAATCATAAAAGTAGTGTGTGTTTACATAGTGAACTTGCATATCACATTCGTGTTGGTTTTGTTACTTCATGGGGGAAGGGTGGGAGGTGTTGTAACCAGGTGAGATTCTGTTTTAGTCCGTCATTCCTATACAGGCAGTTTGGATTCCACTTGATATGAAGTGCTTCTGATATTAGACGCTCTTTGTGATTTCTGAAATGCTTTTTCTGGATTATTTCAGTATTGTCAAAACTGATTTTGTGGCTTGATTCTATAGTGTGTAGGCAAGCTATGGCTGATGATTTTTCAAGCTGTTCTAGTTCAACCGGATTTATTTCCGGGTGGTCGAACAGATGCTCTACGGTGTTCATTTCTTCTGATTTTGATATATCGAGATGTTTGTCCGATGTATATCGCATCACATTCCAAGCAGTTTATTTTATAGACACAATTAGATAGAGAATCTTTAGGGATTTGGTCTTTCATATGGACAAGGTTGTTTCGTAGTGTGTCTGATGTTTTGAAGAAAGCTCTAATGTCGAGCTGATTGAGTACCCTTCTGATATCGTCTGACGTCTCTGTTCTATATGGAATGACGACTGTTGAGGTCCATGTTTTCGGAATGCGTTTTCGGCCACAATTAATGTCTGCGTTGATTTTGTTGATGAAGTTCCTTGGGTAGTTGTTTTGCTTGAGAGTTTCAGTAATGTTTGATATTTCTTCTTTTTCTTTCTCGTCGGTTATCAGAGTGTGCTCGTCTAAGAAGACTTGAAACAACTGAAATCTTGGCGCTGATGGGGCATGATGATCTGAAGTCTAAATATTTATTGGAGTGGGTTTTCTTCATGAATATGGATATACTGA